AGCAAGAACGTTTCTCCAAAGGATGCGGGCGACAACTCCGTGACCCACTTTGATTTTCTCAAGAAATTTAAACGCTTTTCCCCTCTTGACTCTTCTCTTGGAGTTCTCGCTTTCTTCTTCGTCGCTTCTCTCTTCATCGCTTGCTTCTTCTACGTGGATTACAAAGGGTTCCGCTCCCGTGCCACCACCATCCTTGACTTCGATTTTTCATCATCTTCAACTTCTTCTGTTACTTCTCCTGTTACTTTTTCTTCTGCTTCGAGCCCGGTTCAGTTTCTCAGCCCGGAGGGTGATGCCTGTGATGTCTTTGATGGGATTTGGGTTTGGGATGAGACTTACCCCCTTTACAATTCCGCAAACTGTTCCTTCATGGATCAAGGTTTTCGCTGCTCCGAGAATGGCAGGCCTGACACCTTCTACACTAAATGGCGATGGCAACCCAAAGATTGCAACTTGCCCAGGTTCTAACCAACCCCGCTTTTTTCCAATTTTTAAATTTGTTATTTTTCGAGTTTAATTTTATATTTTGTGTTGGTTGGTTGGTATTGGATACTGCTGAAAAAATGAGGACAAAAAAGGGAAAGCATGATTTTGGTTTGGTTCGTGTTGTTTCTCTGAACACAAAATGATTTTGGAGTTTTGTCTCGTAGTTGACTGCTCATGGGATCACCACCGTCCACGCGCTATTTTATACCTGCCTTGAATTTGGTTAATTGTTTTTGATGAACTATCCTTTATTTTTATTATCTTTGATTTTTTTGTTGTTTAACTTCGTATGAAGGAAGCGTTTATTCTTTTGCTTTTAACTTTACTAGTTTGAATCGGTATGAAGGAAGTGCTTGTTCCTTTTCTTTTTTTTTTGCTTTTTTGGATTGCTGGATACGAAGTGAAAAAGGTGCTGGCCTGTCGTAAAGTTAGGATGTGAGTTTTGCCAGAGATTATAGAGAAAGAAGAGCGTTTCTGTTATTGGTTTCTTAAATTGTCACTGTCACCTGTTGCTAGTTTCATTTGTCATTAACTGCCTACCCGTATGCTCTGGTGTATTGCTCAAGTTCAAGAATTACTCCGGGTGTGTTTTTCTTTATCGAAAAAGGAGAAAAAAATTATATTTGATTTGGGGGGTAAGCTGTTTTGGTGTTTCCTGCTCTGAATTGAACAACTTGCTGTGTTTGTGTTTGATTCTTCTTCGGTTCTTGCTGGAATGAAATATGATGATGGACTGTGTATTTGTAACAGATTTGACGCAGGGAAGATGTTGGAAAAGCTACGGAACAAGCGACTGGTTTTTGTTGGTGATTCAATTGGAAGGAACCAATGGGAATCGCTTCTTTGTATGCTGTCTTCGGCGATTCCAAATAAGGCTAGGGTCTACGAGGTTAATGGGAACCCAATTACAAAGCACACAGGCTTCTTGGCATTCAAGTTTGAAGATTTCAACTGCACCGTTGAATACTATAGATCACCGTATCTTGTAGTGCAGGGACGACCTCCTTCTGGTGCACCTGATGGGGTAAGAATGACTTTGAGATTGGATCACATGGACTGGATTTCACATAAGTGGAGGGATGCAGATGTGCTGGTTCTCAATGCTGGACATTGGTGGAATTATGAGAAGACTGTCAAAATGTAAGGCCTTTTTTATCTGTTGTTCTGTTGTCATTCTTAATAATTCAATCTTTTAAGTGCCACCTAAATTTGGCCTTTTCACAAGGACCTGCCAAAGAAGGTTTTTAGTGCATTTTTGGATTAGGCTTATGTATGAGAAATAAATAATTGCATTGTTTTCCGGATAAATTATTTGACTGACACGGTGAGAGTTTCTTGTGGGTAGATTGATATTCTTTCCTCTTAATACTGCATACGAGAGACCCTTTAGCAAGAAGAAAGAATGAATTTATGTGAATGATGTGATATTACTGGCTGTGGCAAATATTGTCATTGCAGTAAGAGTGAGGAATTTGTAGCATAGTTCAATGCAAAAGCTGATTATTTATGCTCTGTTTATCTCCATGATATGGCAAAGCTTGAGCGTATTCCAAATCCCTTTGATGATAGTTTGCGACAATATTTTATACTCTTCATGTGATCAATCTATCAATGTTGGCGTAATTATCACTTTGATTTTTGGATCATTTCTTTATTTAGGGGCTGTTACTTCCAAATAGGGGAGAAAGTGAAGATGAATATGACTACAGAAGACGCATTCAGGAAATCAATAGAGACAGTAGTTCATTGGATTGCTAATGAAGTAAACATAAACAAAACTTACGTCCTTTTCCGAACTTACGCACCCGTCCATTTCAGGTTTGCCCAAACTTTCAAATTTACTGAACTATATGCAGTATTTTTTTTTGCTCAATTTGTTTGAGTAATTTTGTAATTGTGAACTTTCCTATCCTATAAATTTATTTGGGTCGATGAATTGACAACGTTTTTAGCAACCACATTGGGTATGACTAATCTGGAAGAGACTCATAAAAAATACAGAAACCTGTTAACTCAAGATTTTGGGTTAAAGGCAGTGTCATGTTCTTTATATGGGTTTTCCCATGGCTTATATGTCACAATTTCCATAGGGTCTCCTCTGGAAAAAATCCAACAGTCTTCTGCAGGGTTTTCCACTCTCACTACAACTTTTGAGGAGCATTTTTTTTAACTGTATTTTTGGTATTTACGTGTGACTAAACTTTTAAGACTCAAGGACATGATTCGCTGCCTCTTTAAGGGACCGTCCTTTTAACAGATGCATATACTTTACTGACTAACAACATTAACTGCTGGTAGGTGGCATTGATGAAGTTTTCCAACTCTTCCTCATCTAATATGTTTACTGGCATGTATCCATTGAATGCTGAAACAAAATTTTAAACACATCATGAGTCTGTGTACGTTAGTTGTGTCTTATTATTTCTAAGGTATATTGCTGCTTCCATACCTTTGTGTCTTGGTTCATACCTACCTGATCCGATTTTTTTGCCGTACTATTAATTTCTGTACGGCTCCTTTCTTGAACAAACTTTCAAAACCTTTTGTTTTTTAACACTTTCGACATCTATGAATATATGACTGCTAACATGTGGAAGAAGATAAGGGAGTTGTTAACACATTCATTGGATGTAGCAGGGGTGGTGACTGGAATACTGGCGGTGGTTGTCACTTGGAAACATTACCTGATTTAGGTTCCTTGCCAGCAGCATCCGACATCCATTTCAGAACCGTTGTCGATGTCTTGTCAGAACTCAAAAATAAATCAAATTTCTTGAATCCGGATTTGCTTAATGTGACACAAATGTCAATTCGCCGGAGAGACGGCCATGCATCCATTTACTATCTCGGACCAGATGGTACGGCCCCAATGCAGCGGCAAGATTGTAGCCATTGGTGCCTACCTGGTGTTCCCGATTCATGGAATGAGCTTCTTTATGCTCTTCTTCTCAAGAGGGAAGAATTTCGGGAACAGAGACAGAACACAACAAATGTTTCTCAAGTTCCACTATAATTGACATATACAGTTTACAGAGAATGTTATGAGTTATACAAATCAGTGACAACCCTTTTTGAGCGAGGTGAAGCTGCAAGTTGGATTTGGCGTTGGTGCACCTAACTTTTTGTTAGTTCGCTTGATGTCAGAATTTCATTCTTAGCGACCAAAGAAATTTTTAAATGTTTTAATTTCCTGCAAAGTGATTGTTTGACCCTCTTTCTAGTGGTCTGCCATTGTAGGTGAACATATCTAGATGGGATGGGAACTGAATTTTGGATGGTGAGTTTCAGGGATATCTTGTACAAAAAAGAAAAAATAACAGCTGAGATTAAAACCTGATTGATTAGAAGGCATACAGATTTTGTTTTTGTAAATTTCATATGATCCATGATGTTGCTGGTTGTACATTGTATATAACAAGATTTTCAAACCTTTTATTGTTTGTTGTTATTTATATAGGCAAATACTTCAGAGTAATTTATATAGATTCAACAACTATTAAAATTATTAAAATGTTAAGTGTTTAATTTAAAGAGTTCTGCAGAACATTATTACCGCTCAATCCTAGATTCATGCATGCAATTTGGTTCAAGTTTCAAGATTTATTTGTATTTTAATTTTCTTTGAATAATACACATGAATCATACAAATTAGACTAGTTTTTCTTGAAATTGGCATTCTGCACTTAACGTGAATTATACTCGGCTATTCATTTGGTTAATCGCGTTTGATTCTAACACAACGGGGATCTTATGTCATTTCGTGTTGAAGTGTTTGGACCAGTAAATACAGAAAGTGAATTAGTTTTAAAATTATACTTAAAAAGTGATTACATTCGATGATACTAGGTTTTGAAAACAAAGGAGAGTTTTGTTGTCAATAAATCTTATTCAATTTCATCTGGACTGGTTCGATTCGTAAGATTAATACCAGAACATTGGTGTTCCCAGAAAGAAAAACCATTTTCCTTTCGAAATACCACGTAAACAGTTAGGAAAATATTACTTTTTTAAATTCCCAACAATTTATGGAGGAAAACGAGGCATCTTATATATTTTTGTACCTTTTCCCCTTTTTTTAATGCATCATCTTTCCCTTAAGTTTTAATGTCACGCAACTGATTTCTTACTCAACATGCAGAAGAATCGCGTACATGTTATGTACCATGAAAAAGGGGAACAAAATTATAAAAACGTGAAAAGAATCAAACCTCAAATCTAAACTTTTTTTTCTTTCTATACAAACAAAAGAAGAAAGAAATCAGACTAGAAATGAAAGACTATTTCTCCACAGAAAAATAATCATAGTTGGTAGAAAAAAGAAGATAGTTTCTCAGTGGGATACACATAACATCAACAAGAAATATCTTGGATTACTTCGAGAAAAAAGGTGTAGAAACGTGAACAAAGTATATGGTATACATTTGCATTACAATTACAAACTGTCTAAAAACTTTGCAATGCTATGTTGGAAATGATGATGGAAAGTTGAACAGCGAAACTCCAATTTTCTATCTCTAATCGTCAAATGGGTATTGCTCGTACCTGATTGTACAATCATGGAGCACTGAACGAGCCCCTATCCGTGGTGCCTGGCATGTGGTAAACAAGGCCATTTTAGCAGCACCAAGACATGTTTTACAATCAGAGGATGTCAGATTAATGTTACAAGTAGCATGCCCATAGGCATAGACATTAGGATATGGTGAAATGTTGTGGTACTCATAATTCCTTTTCTTTGCTGTTTCCTTCTCTAAGTCTTCCAACACATAACTTAAACTGATTGCAAAAGGGTCCCCTGAGGTGTACACACCACTGTTGCAGAGAACGTTGATGATGCTCGTGTTGGGAATACTCTCAGCAACACTCAACAGCCACAACAAACCAATACCAATTATTGCACATTTTGTTGCTACACCCATCTTCTTCTTCTAGTCTTTGATCGAACTCTAGCACACGATGCGTTGTCACCTTCTCAGCCTTTTACTCTAAAAATGCTAACATCACTTTATAAATCAATGAAACTACTCATATCTATAATTTTAAAAATGAAGTTTCCATAAAAGAAGGAAATGGAAGGTGATTGAATGATGGGAATTAGTGATATGACAGAGGTGTAGCGGAGGTTTCAAGTGGATACGTGCTGTGCATTGCCGGCCATTTAATTTTTGTTCTTTTGCGTTGATGAACGGACTTGTGACGTATCATTCAACAAATTTGCTTAATTAAATTTGAAAGAAGCTTAGTTTCCTCAACCCCCTCCATTCATTTTGCTAATTTTTTTTTCAGATATTTTTCAAGAACTATTGCGCCAGTGATAGCGTAAGCATGATGAAATACAAGAACCTGTTTGATGAACTATTTAGTATTGGAAAATGACACTTGAACAACCATTTTTGACAACATTTAGACACGCGCACACGTGTCAAAATCTGAGTGGTCCAGTTGGAAAAATTAAATGAAAATGGACCACTCAGATTTTGACATGTGTGCGCGTGTCTAAATGTTGTCAAAAATGGTTGTTCAAGTATCATTTTCCTTTAGTATTCTTACAAATAAAGTACCTGTTTTTACTTTTAACTTATTTTAGGTCAAGGCCCACAATGAATATTCATAATCTGTTTCGTTATCTAACTTGATGAGTACTGTTCATACCAATTTTCTTTTCTGGGTTTATTCATAAGAGATGAAAGCTATTAAGATTAACCAACGGAAAAATTTTAGAAGATATGTGTTTGAAAAAGGGTTATTAATCATTATTAATTAGCATATCTTCTAACTTCAATTATTGGATGTTACACTCAAATACATATATTCATGTGTTTCTTTGGCACCAAGAGAACACATATTTGTAATAATAATCTATGACCTAAAATCGGGAATGGTTTATATACATACATAGATAGATAAATCACTGTTAAAATATGGGGTCTACGAAGACAATGCAGTTATTGGGGTGCGAAAACCTGCGATTTCTCCAAGTTCTTCCACCTCTTTCACCAGTTCCTCAACCTTCCGCATCACTTCCATGTGCAAGAAGACGAAGCTAGCAATGGCTAGCACTTGATCATCCTCAAGTTGTGCCATTTTGAACGTGGAAATTATGAAGCTTAAATCTTCTCTGGCGGCTTTCAACTGCTCCGAAACACAACCCTTTGCATTACATTTCATCATTTGCTTCATGCTGTCTCCTAGTTCTTGCAGAACGCATGCAACCTTTGACTCAAGTGCTTCGCATGTTTCTAAATAGACCCATTGTGATTCTCTCAATGTGGCCATGGGCTGACATAAAAGGTTCATTTCATTCAGCCTATCGAAAATCTGGTTTTGTCGTTTTGCAAACCGTATAATATAAGAACCTTAAAAAAGAAAGAAAATATGCACCTACCTCTTTTGATGCTTCGAGGCAACGACGCATTGCAAGAATAAATGCAGCCAGTTCGCGAAGAATCTCCCCAATCTTTAAGTACCTTTCCCAAGGGTAGGAAAATCCAAATTTTCCATGCCAGGGTTCCCAGTTTGCGAAATTTGCCTGAAAAATAAAACACAAACTTATTCCCCACACTTAGTTATGTACACTTTTTCATTCAATTTCAAGAAACACAAGAATCTACCTTACCAGTGATTCATCCTTTGATTTGGAGTTCAATACTGACTTGCAAACGTTGAAGCAAGAACAGGGTTGATTTTCCTTTTCGTTAATCATTTTGGTACATTTGCCTAAACAACCTACAATCACAGAGGATTAATAAATTATAATTGAATCCCTGTCACACTTGGGTCTTAATCTACTGTCATGAGCCTAATATAGTTATTTAAATACACATTTATAATTGAATCTTGTTTGTTAACATTTAATAAAAAAATACAATAAACAGTGTAAAAACACTAATTCAAGTGTAAACTTCGGTCTCTCTTTATATATTCACGAAAAATATTTTTGTGCGTTGTTCACTGTTACTGTAAGGAAAAAAACACTTTTTATCTGAAGTGATACCACCAAGCTTTTAATTGCTTTTCTGGAAACCAAGTTATCAGTAAAAACACAACCACATCTCAGGAATAAACAAGTTGAAATCAAACAACGTTCTTTCATTCGTGTTTCTGTTCAAGAAATGATTAAGATGAGATCGTAAATGGCATTGCCTTATATAGATAGATACCTTGAATTGTATTGGCAAGGTCAAGGAATCTGGAGACGATGGAATCGTGAAGTTCATCACTGGCCCACAAAGGAAAGACGAGCAAGTTCACACAGACGCATACAATGAAGCCCATCAGTATATTCAAGAGACGTTCGCCGGCTAATTCCCACACTTTCACATTCACTCGTGTGACAGAAACCACAACTAGATTGAAAGTCAGCAAGAATATCATCACTCCATAATCGTATCTTTTCTTTATGCTTGGAATCAGTCGAAGATATGTGGCAAATGATCCTGAAATCAACACCAAAAGTTTATTAAGTTATGCATAATGTTGAGAGCACCCAGTAGCCGGAAGCCATGAGCATTAGTAATGTTTGTTAGAGAATATAACTATGAGAAACTTACCAAGTATAAATACAGAAGCAGCGATTATGATGGAGTTGCCAACCCTGCCAATCCCAATGCTTTGTGCAAAAAGTGCTGCTAAGCAACCTAGTCCTCCTCCTATAATAGTTCCTAGTCCACGGTTGAAGCCCTTTCCTAGTGTGGCCCCTGACATGTTTATCAAATATGCATACGTAAATTAGATATTCATATTTGCAATGAGTTATGTTAGAGTTGAATGGTGATGAAAGTACCTGCAGAGAATTCAAACATGACCACAACTGTCATGATAGCCCACATTGCATTTTCTCCAATTTGCTTAAAGACAGGGTTCAAGAGGTACAGAAGTGAAACCAAAACCAAGGAGATTCCTACTTTGATGCAGTGAATCATCTTCCTGGTGTCTTGGTCTCTCTGCATCTGCTTGTGTCTGGCACTGAAAGTAATGGAAACACAGTGGACTTCATTTTTCCCAAGATGGGAAAATTGGAATGTTTTGTTCTCCTTGGTTGTATGTGGTAAATTATCTTCTTCTCTATTTGTAATGGCTATTACGTGAGTTGATTCCATTTTGTCTTCACTCTCTCGATTCCTTTCCCTTTTCTCTCTACGAATTTTATAACTTATTCTCTTGGGAAGTTCAATTTGGACACCGATCCAATTTATACTAAGGCATGTAAGTGGGGACTGATGGTGATGGAAGATCAAATTCTAAAGAGTACATGAAATGTCAACACTATACTTTATTAGTTTACCTGAAATAGTTAAATGATATAAATTGCTTTTGTTCTTGACCCATCCAAAAATTTAAGAGTCGCCTTCAAAATAAAACTAACTCGTTAACTTAATATTATATTATCACCTTATGTATACAAAGTCAGTCTCTCAGAATATGAAGTTTGGAAGTTATTTAAATTAATTTCAACTTAAATGTAAATTTACAGTTTACGTTTCATTTGATCTCACTTCAAACAAAACATGTATTACGAGCCAATATATTAATTATTCTCTATCTTGGTATTGATCCGAGTATAGTCTTATATCTTTAATGGTATTTGTGAGTTACTTTTAAGATTAAAACTGAGTCTTGTGAAACTATTTTAGTGTTATGGAATAATAGTCTTCTAATTGATACTAATTTGTAAACTTGATTGTTGTTAGGCTCTTTTTTTTTCTGTAATGGTTATTTTGTAAATTTTTTGAATTATTAAAATTAAGTGATGATTCATCAAGTGATTGTGAATATTCAAAATTTGGTAGAAAAAATATATCTGGACACACATCTACGTTCATTTGACATATTATTTCTTACTCTCTTATTATAAAAATTATGTCAAATGAGTGTAGGTTGTCAACCTACCATTACCTAATTTGATAAGATAAATTCAAGTTTTTAATTCGGAGTAATGGTACCATGATATACTTTACATTCATTTGACACAGATTATAAGGGTAAAATTGTCATAAAAGTGTAAACTTATGTATTATTTCAAAAAAGAAGAGAGTAAAAAGTAAGTAAGGGTAGTGTCAAATGAATGTAAAAAATTTAGATGTGTCAAAGAATCATTATTCTTTTAATCCATTTGTTTGTTTTGGCTTGTTTCATATTAGATTTCTTTTAAAATTAAAATGTTAAAATAAAGAATAATTTTGTAAGTTTATGATTGAATAACATGGAACTAAGCAAAATTGATGAGTATTATTAGTAAGAAACAGTGAATTATTTATCTAGGGCCTCAAAGTTTGACTAAACTTGGTTGATTTTATGGCTAAAAGGTATGTGAGGAAATGAATGAGTATTGGTGTTGAATTGTGTGTAGTAGAAAGTTAGTGGACGTCCAACCCGAACTGAAGACGTGACTATAAGAGAATGAAATGAAACAAGGACTGTCATATCTTCTATGCACATTGCCTTCCTTTGGAATTCGTATAGGACGTCCTTTTTTAGTGACCTTATAGTGGAACACGTTTGCAAACAAACACCACTCACTTCTAATCTTTCTCCACCAAATTACTCTTATTTAATTTCCTATTTCTACAACACTTTCATAATTATTAATTAAGAAAAAAAAGTACCATGACCAAACATTTTTTTTCCAATTAATTAGATGAAAACAAAAACAGAAGGCATGAAAATCTTTGTTGAGGACCCTTATCTTTTGATGGTGGGGAATTCCGTATGGTAGATATATACTTATCCAATGACCTAATAGCAAAAGATGTAGCCCTAAAATGATCCCCACTAAGACATGCAGTGTAATAGATGTTGCTGATAGAAAGAGCATGACCCGACACAACAAGTTTCAATATATGTATTGCATGTTTTTTGTGAACATGGTGGTTCTGTAAGATATTTGTCACATGTACGTACCAAGTTAAAAATATTATCATAGTTTAGGTGATCTTCGTGGAGGTCAAGAATGTCTATCATGAGGAATTTGCAAAGATGCAATGAACTACGTGACACGAAGGTCTACTTTGCTCACACGTTAATTCTATATATTTTGAGTAAGTTAATAAAAGTTATCTTACTATATTGATTAACAATTTTTGGTTAGTTGACTGTAAAGTTAGCAGCTATAGTTGTAAAGAGGAATCATTATCAAACCATTCCACTTCCACTTAATTCATTTTGGGTTGACCTGTCATCACACTACCTACAAATTAAACTTAGGGTGGGAGCTTATCACATTTTGTGCAACTTTTCCATCGTCAAAATGGTTTATCATTCCATTATATATATATATATATATATATATATTATATTGTATAATTATCTGATCAACGCACTCCCCTGTCTACCGAACGACAACTCTCTTAAGAGAATGAACATTTATCCAAATCAAGAACAATTGACTAACATATCCATAGATAATCGATGAGTAATACATATTAAAATCATTATCATAAATCCAATATATTTAAAAAAGGTAAAATATGTTTATGGACTTTTGGCCCATAATTGGTCAAATCCTAATTGAAAGTTCACTTAAAAACCTATGAATACAAAAATAAGGTAAAGAGATAGGTGATTACATTTATTGTGTAATTAAAACTTTAGTGATAATCAATAAGATATATTAAGAAATACATCTAATGAAAATTATTATATAATTTCAAATTAAGAGTAATTATGTTATAAAATTTATGCTTGTATAATGACTTTAGTTATAAAATATATGCTTGAATCTTGGTTTGTGTATCTTTTTGTAATAATTTTTTTTCCTCAAAAGAGCTAGAATATTCTAAGAATTCCTAATAATATATTTTTTTATTGTTTTATAAAAAAAATTGAATGACATTTAAAGATTATGGATGATTTAGGAGTGCTTTTTTTTCTTTTATTAAAACGAGAGATCAATTTGATACAAGTACGTCAAATCTCAGCAAAGATAATTAATACAAAAATTAATCAACGAGAAAAAAAAGAGGAAATCATACAGTGAATTTTAGTATAACAATAAAATAAATCTTAATCACAATTAATTAAACATAAGTAATATATTCTCAAAACATAAAAAAAGATGGTAAACAATGTAAGCACAATTATTTAAGAGTGAAATTTTACAATAACTTTTTTAATTAATATTTTTATTGATTATTGATTTTATAATTAAATAAAGGGCAGATATGTGTGGGCTAAAATAGGAGTTGTTAGTAGCTTATTTTTTAATTGTAATGTAGCTGGACGTGTGATGAATTAATCGGTGCGAGTATAAATAACACATTATTATCTAGTCAAATACTTTTTTAAGTAGTTTAATTAGAATCGTAACTCTTCCTAATTAAAGAAATATTCTGTTGCATTACTAATTTATGTCTCATAAGCGATCACAATAGTTTGGGATTGGTCTAAAAATATTTACCCCATAACCTATCTTAATATCTAGGAAAAGCTTTTGCGAATTTTTTTCCGCCTACGTCAACATTTTTTTTTTAAATTTTAAATATTTAAAAAAAAAAAAGTATAAATTTAAGTAAATATATAAGTATTTAAAGTAGAATTTAATAAAATAATTCACTAAAATATTGATATATATAAATC